AATAACCACATAATGTATTTAATAAAGTTATAGAAAAGGTTTAAGGCCAGCTAGTGACATGTGAATCCAATTCCTATCCTATCAGCTTAAACTTTTGGGTTTGAAGTTTAAGTCCAATAGGTATGCACTGTGCGTTCCTTGTGAGCTACCACTGACCTAGTTTTCCCACAAGAGCTAGGTAGGGGGGGTGTGCCTGTGTGGCCTAACTAGCTAAAGCATTCTACACCAGATAAAAGAGAGATCTTGCGGAGTGCAAAACAACCAGCATTTAGACCAAGAATTTATGATCCGGCCCATGTGAAGCAATGTTTTGAAAATTGGATCAGATTAACCAATCGGACCGATTGAACCAATACTCGATAATACAGATGGTTCGATTGTATTTTTTAAACCGTTTGAATTGTAAACCGCTTAAAACCGATAAAAACCATTAAAATCACTCAAACCAATAAACTGTTCGATCGGATGGTTCAATGGTTGGGCATAAAATCTTCAAAATTTTGTCTCCTGTGAGACTTGAACTCACAACCCCAAAACCTTAATTTCAATTCTTTACCACTAGGACAATACTATTCTTTTGTCAGTGAGTGCTTGAAATTTTATTTATCTAATAGAATTATCAAAACTTTTAACTAAAATATTGATGACACCCATTCTCGATATGAAACAAATACTTAACCACTTTGAAACACAACCTTTTATTTGTTATTTTTTGCTTTACAATATATTTATTCTATCTTTAAAACCACAATTATATTAAAATTTGTTCTCACCCACTCTTGAACTTGTGATCTTTCACCTATAAAATAAGTCACTTACCACTGCACTCAACTAACACCTTGTAAAATATTTTGTAGAATAAGGTATTTATAATAGTTTGATCAACCCGACGGTTAAATTAGTTGAATCAGTCAAATCGTGAACCAAAGGTCAAAACGATTTGACCTCTGGTTCAGGTTTAAAAACATTTATGTGAAGAACCAAAAAGATTTTTCGGTTCACTTTTCTTTCATATTCTTTACTAATAATGACATATGTATCAAAATTTAGAATAAATGATATGATATAAGTTATATCATTTAAAATATTAAAAAATACATTACACATTATTTAATAATTAATTTTTTAAATTTGTTTGAAATTTATAATATTATATGCGTCAACTTATTCAATGATGATTTTAAACTTTGATCTCAAATTTTCACTTTCCCTATCATTACTCATTCTTTACCTATCTCAAACTAGACAAGCTTATTAATATAAAAATAAACAAATACAAAGTTTATAAAAGTCGAGATTAAATTTTAAAAAATCTTGATCTTTTAAGTATTTCATAGATATATCTGTTAAACTTTGAATTTTACAAAATGATATTATATTTTGAATGCCATCATTTGTTTTACTCATCAATTTCGGCATACATACCATAAACAAACAAACAGTTACAAATATTCATTTAAAGTACTAAAAAATGCTAATAAATCTTGCATGGGTCCAGAATCATGCTTAAGGTGTAGGTGTTTAACAAGCGCTAACTAATTTTATTATTATTTTGTTACTTCTCACGTTAAAAAAAAAAAAAA